GTATAATTCCGGTGCACTTCCATGTGACTACATAGCATACAATAAGCTATCGGGTCCCGTTTGGGTCGGTTTGGGTGGCAGCTTAGATATCCACAGAGTAGGTTCATCTCGGAATCTCCCATATAACTTGGGCTCCTCTTCAATTTAAATGGAGTTACTTGTTTCTTTCAAAACTATACAGTTTTAGAGACTAAGTTTTAGTCTGAATAGATATCACCAGTTTGGAATTTGAAACTAATCTGTTTACAGTAACAGAACACTGTTTATATGTCATGTACAAATGAGAAAGTGGAATCCCGTCAATTAGGCGGACGAACCTTAAAACTATTAATAAACATTAAAATAAGCAATATCGGGAAAATGTATATGCATATACTATCTGGCAATAAACACCAAGATCACCTTCTACAAAAATAAGTTTTAAAAGCCGGTTGATATTCTTTTGCGTATTTGACGATTATATAACTTTCGAAAGTATAATCCTTTTCCTATACTCAGACGTTCCTGAGCCTTGCGCTTTCCTAATTATTTTGACTAAAATTATTACCGTTATCATTGTATTTGTTAATGGGAAATACGCGCTGATCAAGTACGTGCCATAAATTAAAGCGACATTGTACGATTCCGAACTCATCACGAGACTGTGCTTATGAATCACTGTCAAATAGTGGTGACATATAGTGGAAACAATACGCGAAATCGCGCATGCATAGAACGGAAAATTTGGACAAGGCATTAAGCAATCCGCTTGCGTAGAACGATTGATTTCAGTACTTCCTCTAAGCGCTTCGAGTACAGCGTCAAACTCGGGCCTGTAATCTAACACGCGAGAACTGACCAATGAAATCTGAGAAGTAGGAATACCGGTATACGCTGTTGCTTGATTGACAATGCCAATCAAGAAAGGGAGGAGCTGGATGATATCGTTCTCTTCCAGTAAATTCCGATGTCAAATAACGACGTTATTTGGACGGAAAAACGATGGTTTGAAAGCGTCCAAATAACGTCGTTTTTCAGTCCAATGACCATATACGGAAAAAAACGACGTTTTCGTGTTTGCAGTGTTAGGATCCAGAAAACCTTGTATGTGGTGTGCCACAAGGATCTGTCTTGAGACCGGTGTTATTCACCTTGTATGTAATAGAACTTTGCATAGTCATCGAAGACCATCAGATCAAATGGCACCAATATGCAGATAATTTACTGATCCCCAAACTCTTTTAACCATAACCAGTAATGGCATTGGCAGCTGCAGAACACACAACATAATGTTGCAATAACCTTCAGAACTGAATGTCACAGAACAGACTTAAACTAAGTGGTGAAACGCAAGTCGTGTGGTATGAGTTCCAATAGAAAGTCTCACTCCTTTGTCGGCATCTGTGAGGGATCTGAGAATAATGCTTAATTCTGAACTGTTTTAGAGGATCATGACAACAATTTGAGTCTGTTTCTTCCAGATTGTGGAAATATCAGAAGATATCTTACTAAAGATTAACACTTATTATCATGCTTGGTGATGCGTAAAAATGACTACTACGACAGTCTTCTTGCCCGTTTATCCTGCTTTGCAAGGCATCGCATCCAAAAATACAACAGCAAGAATAGGCTCGCATCTTCATAACCATGGCCGTGTCTCTCCTGTACTTGAGGACCTACACTGGCTTCATGTGCGTCAAAGAATCCCTTTCACAGTCTTGTATGTTGCATACAAGTACATTTATGGCGAGGCTCCCCATTACTTATGTGATCTTGTCTGAATCACAACATCTTCAACATTAACATGGATACTATCTCTGTGTTCAGAACTTGTCTTACGACTCACCTCTTTAAGTTAGCTTTCCAGTCCGAGCTAGTTTGGGGATAACATTTACTTAATTTAATTCCAGTACTTTTGGGGGATGAGGCCCATCCGAGATTCGAACACACACTGCCAGAGTGAGGCACCTTATCGCCAGCACAATAAGTCAGCAATCTAACCCACTCAGCCACCGAGCTTCCACTACAAATAAAGTCCGACAACAGTGTCTAGATCATGTTCAGAAAAAGTACACGAATTTGTACTTTATTACGAAAGTGTTATTCAAAATAAAACATTTATTACAATTGATTACTTTCGAAATGGCATTGTGTATTCCCTTCCTAGCTAGTGTGTTTTGTGCGCATGCATTATGAAATCTGTTGACATTGTTTACAAAACGCAATATTATGTTTTGTTTTGAACATTCAACTCATAAATCACAAATGCTTCATTTTTGTACCGGGTGTTTGTTTCGTGCTGGCTTATCTACTGTAGGACACGTCTGGTAAATTATATACATTGTATTGATGTGACAAAAAAAGGAAGGATAACAGATAATGTTACGTATTACTTCTTTACGTAATTAAACGAGGGGTGGTTGAAATGTTCTCAGCTAAACTACGAAGGATTTTTTTATTTAAACATATTTTATTGCGGAAAATCAAATGGATTAGGCACAAGTGACACACTTACGAGGCCTTCTCCTATATACATTTCTTTACAATGTGGTATGTGAATTCTGTGGTGCAGAATAAATGTACAGTGCATAGGAATTATAAGTATTGAGAAAATATAACACACACATATACACATATATATACAGTATTACACACCAACACATATACCTACATACACTCACACATACATATACATATATACATAAGATGAATTTACATTTTTGGTATACAATGGTACATGATATATTTATAAAACAACACAGTAGTTAATAAACTACATGTTATAGACATTTAATTTACGTGAAGGGCGGGAAATCCAGAATGTAACTAAGCTGTGATAGTTACAGGGAATGCTATTGTTTTACATCAAAATCAGAGTGTTGAAACAACCATGTATTATATGTGCAAGTCAGTTGTAAAATCTAGATAAATTGAAAGTAGCTCGTGAAATATAATTCTTGTTGTATTAGGATACAATTTAAAATCTGTTTGTTTCTACAATAAATTGATGGACATATTTACAAATTAAGTTATTTTGTTCTTCAGATAGATTTTTGTTACCACTAACAATTGTTTCTAAATTTGGCTGAGTCCCTATATTCCTAATGTTGATAAACAAAGATTGTCTTATTAAAGAATATTTTTTACATTCAAGAAAATAGTGAAAAGCATTTTCGCATGGGGAACCGCAAAGGCAAGAAATAGTGTCTGACAAATTAACCCTAAATAAATCATCACTTCGATTGCTACATCTATGTCTAAGTCTTTTTTAATTCAGCTACAGAGATACTATTTTTAATATTTTCATTTTGTAAATTCCATTGTTTTAAAGAGTCTTGTTCTGGCAAAAGGTACAGACATGTTCTGTTTGTTATGTAGGTTATAATTTGAAGCAGCTGATCTGTTGTGGGGTAACAAATCATTTAGATATGAGGGACATTCATTTTATTATTATTGTGTGCACTGTCGTAAGTTTTCGTCTCTCTTTTAGTGGTAGCCAGCCGGTTTCGAAATATAAACTTTCTCTCAAGGCAAATTTGGTCAAACCTGTCACAATTCTGGAAGCGTCAAGTTGTATTAATTCAAGTTTATTTTCGTTATAAGCAGAACAGTTGTCCTATATTTCCGATAGGTCTTATAAATGTCAGATAGAATTTTGACAGATTATATCTATTTAATTTATATTTAACTATAGATAACTACGACACCAAGCTAATAATTAAAGGATTGGCTATGGATAGTGAAGTATTTAATTAATCTGTGATTCAGGTTGTCGGGACCGCTTGCTTTATTTACCGGGAGGGACTTTATGAGATCTGTTATTTCTTGACTTTCAATAACGGTATAATCCAATTCATGATCACATCGTTTAACAAATGGTGGCAGTGAGGCGCCTTCATCGTCAACATTGGAAACTGACGTAAAATAATCATTGAGAGCTTCAGCTTTATCAAAATCAGAAAATGCTTCAGGTACAGTGTTGTTGTAAAATGCTTCAGGTACAGTGTTGTTGTAAAATGCTTCAGGTACAGTGTTGTTGTAAAATGCTTCAGGTACAGTGTTGTTGTTAGTGACCAGAGGTTGGATCACGGTGCTGGCTCCAGACTCTTTGATCAAGTCATGTAAAAGTTTCCAATAATTAGAACTTGATTTGTGTAGATAATAATTCATCTAAGTTAAGATAAAAAAAATTCCTTTGCAGCTTTCTTCAAATTGTTTACTTTATTTCTTTGTTTTCTATATTTAGATAAATCGCGTTTATTGCATGCTCGTCTAGCTTTTTTTCTCAGTCGATCTCTTATTCTTATTACTCTACGTAGTTCACTATCAAACCATGGTTTATCTTTTGGCCTTATTGTGACAGCACGGCTTGGTATGCATAAGCTTATATAGTTTTTAAATGTGGACAGAAAAATATCACATATATCATCAATAGACTCGCAGCTATTAAGCATGCACATCCAATCAGTTGATTCAATCAATTCATTTAACTTCGCATAGTCACCATCTTTATAAATTAGAACCTCTCTTACATAGGATTTTTTCATGTCAATGCAGTTCGTTAGCGAAACAACAACTCCCTTGTGGTCATTGATATCCGTGCTGAAGTCGACAACACCCGACTCTATACAATTACAATCGTCACTGATAACAATAGGGTCAAGCAGAGTTTGTAAATGCTAAGTGACGCGTGTCGGCTCTTATATTACATTACGTAAACTCTTCCTCACTAAAATATCGTGCAGATGGTGAAGGTTGCTGTTAAGTAAATCTTCGTTAAAATCACCGAGCACAACGTAAGGCGTATAATCTAGAGCAGTTTCAAGTGAGTGTTCTAGTTGATCCCAATACAACACAGGGGTGTTAGGTGGTCTGTACCACGCACATAATAATATTCTCTTCTGAGGCAAGAAAACCTCGAAACAAATATTTTTTTATAATTGTATTGTAACCGTGGTTGTGTTGGCCGATAGTGGAGTAGGTGTCCTACTGGCCAAATAATCACAAACAGCTGTGGGGGGTGAGGCTGATGACGTTTATTGTATTATAGGTGCGAATGTACGCACTTAATTTCAGTCTGAAACAATAAAAGTACAACATAAGCAAATATAACATAGAAATAAATATATACAATCCGTTATAGTTACTCTTTAAATTTCTAAAATATATATATATATATATATATCACTTCCATTAATATGAATAGCATTTACTTTACATTACACAATACATCAGACGTATCCGTACAATACATCAATACACAGATACAAAATATATTAATATGATATAGAGTGATAACGAACATTACATACCAGATAGGTGATACCTGAACTTGTAATACCATGACAATGATCGAACGGTGAACGTTGCTACTGAGAAATCTGCGTAAAAAAGAAATACAAATGCAGAATACTATATACAAGTGATATCCTATGGTAAAATAGTGTATAAAATATATAGTACAACAGCCACTCATTTCAAACATACATCAAGCATACAGACATACATTTACTTTCCATTACTGTCCAGAGGGGTTTATATTACTTAGTTTATATAGAGTTAGGTTTTTGTGTTTAATACTGTTTTATTCAGATAATAATTACTCACTGAACTGCAAGTTCATCAAGCACTATAAATATATACAAGATGCATTATGTTTCTAATAAATCAAATTAAGAATGCATTCTACAATATATATTATTTCAAATCGCAATAATTAGAAAACATCCATATATACAACATCATAAAATAAATAACCAACTAACCTTAAATATGAATAAATCCTTCTACAAATCCAAATCCTCACATAGAAATGAAAGCAGCAATAAATCTCGCAGAGTCTTTCCTTGAGGTGACAAATAGCAACTGATTTTCTAAAATTCAACAACAAACATTGTTGTAGCTGTGGCCAGCTTGGCCTATCAACAAGACAATAGACTGGGCCGGGGCGCGCTGGGGCAAAGAGTGCTGTAAGTCAAAAGCATGCAGTGTGACAATTAGTGGAAGTTAGACTGAGAGTAAGCTTACTTAATGTTACAGAGCTATGGAATGAATGTTTAAGGTATAAAATACTAAGGTATAAAACATAACTTATATTATAACTAATAATATCTTCTTATAATATAGATATCGTAATAAACTAATCAGTTAAAATGGTAACAAGGCCATATAACCTTACTACTTACTAATAAATCTGAATTAAAAGTATGTACATAAATGAGCCTGCCACATACTTCCCCCTGCACCCAAATGACGTCCTCGTCATTTGCTGGTGTTATTAAGTAAGGTGACAATGAGCTGTGACATCGCACCACCAATTCGCTCAAAGATGCCAGCAGCCGCAAGCTGTTCGATGAGTTGAGTTCGATCATCCCTGTCCTCTGATGTTGTCTGACTCATCACATAATCTCCTGAGCGCTGCCACTCCGGTGGCCGTCTCTGCCGGAGTGATTTCCTTGGTGGTGGCTTGGGTCTTGGCCTTGGTCGGTCATCTGATGGGACAGGAGCAGTGGCTCCTACCACTGGGTCTGTGTCCTGTTCTTCGCTGACATTAGCATCTGCTGCTTCTTCTTCTCTTGCATCCGCTTCTCCTGTTCCAGGGTTCTCTGATTCCCGTGGCATGTGGCCGTCGCCACCAGAAGAATGGCTGCCTACCTCTCCAGTCGTCAGATCGTCACCCTCCAACTGTGAGGTAGAATCTCGTTCCAAGGATTCTGCGTTGATGACAGTGGTATCATCATCATCAGGCTCCGTTGGAAGTTCAACAAGCAGGCTTGAGATGGACCCACGCTCATCTTGATCCGACACTGATGTTTCTGTCTCTGTTTCTGGTACTTTAGGGTTCTCTGGTCCTGGAGTCGGCGCTGTTGGCTCTTCTTCAATTCTTTCAACTGGTAAAGATCCTATGGGTAAGAGGAGGTTACGATGTAAAGTTCTGTTCCTTCCTTCTCCGTTTTCTTTCTTCACAACAAACACCGGTATGCCCAGGTTTGGCTGAGAAAGAACTATGTACGGATCCTCTTCCCACTTGTCAGAGAGCTTGTGCTTTCCCTCAAAGGCTAGAATCTTCACCAGGACGCGATCTCCAGACTGGACTGTTGCACCTCTGGCTTTGACATCATACCCTGTCTTCTGTTTCTTCTGGGCTTCCCTTGATGCAGATGTGGCGATCTTGTAGCTCTGTTCCAACCTTGTCTTCAGGGCTTTGACATAGGACGTCAGTGTCTGCTTGTCCTTGTTAATCTCAATCCCAAAGGCAAGGTCGATGGGTAGTCGTGCTTCTCTACCAAACATCAGGTAAAATGGGGAGTAGCCCGTTGATTCATGTCTTGTTGCATTGTATGCATGAACAAGTGGACCGACAAATCCTTTCCAGTCGTACTTCTGATCTGGCTTCAGTGTCCCAAGCATGTTGAGTAGAGTCCTGTTGAAGCGTTCTGTCATCCCATTACACATTGGATGGTATGGTGTAGTTCTTGACTGGGATATGCCCAAGATGCTGCACAGTTCCTTAATCATTCGACTCATAAAGTTGGCTCCTGTGAATTCGCATGGGCATTCCATAGTGGAGAACAAAGTTCTTGTAGAATGCTTCTGCAGTGGTCCGGGCTGTAGTATTCTTGGTTGGCACTGTTAATGCATACCTCGTGAAATGATCTGTGATCACGAGCACATGTTGATATCCTCCCTTTGAAGTTTCTAGAGTGAGAAAATCCATGCAGACTAACTCCAATGGCTGTGATGTGGTGATGGAAACTAGAGGTGCCCGGATATTAGTCGGCGTTTTCCTCCCGAGACATCTGTCGCAGTTCTTAATCCAGTCCATTGTATCAGCTTGCATGCCTGGCCAGTAAAATCTGTCACGAACTAATGAAAGGGTTCGATCACGTCCAGGGTGTCCAATATCATTGTGGAGGCCTTGTAACACATCATTGATGAAGTTAGATGGTAACACAAGTTGATCTTTTGTAATTCCGTCCACCTTGATCTGGCGATACAATATCCCACGTTGAAGTACAAGAGAATGGAAGCTCCGATACAAGGAGGTATTGGCTAGGGTATGAGGAAAGTCTTGTCTCCTTGGCTTCTTCTGGTTACGTACTGCCTGTATCCAAGAAGGTAAAGTTGTATCTGTAGCTTGTGCCATACGCCAATCCCTGTCTGTCATTCCACGTAGGTCATGTGCTGTCGTGTGAAGATCTTTATCAACTGAACTTGCGGAGAGACATAGAGATTCTACAAACGGTTGGGCGTGAACAACACCACAGATGGCCTTTACAGAATCCATAGAGATGTCTTCTTTGTGTTCTCAGTCTGGCAGTCGAGATAATATATCTGCATCAGTGTTCTTCATTCCAGGTCTGTAGTGGATGTCAAAGTCATATGCAGAGAGAGTTGCTAACCATCGGTGACCTGTGGCATCCAACTTGGCACTGGTGAGGACGTAGGTAAGGGGGTTGTTATCAGTCAGCACTGTAAACCTTGCTCCAAAGAGATAGTTGTGGAACTTCTCGCTGACCGCCCACTTCAGCGCGAGGAACTCCAGTCGATGGGCTGAGTAGTTGGTTTCTGACTTGGTAAGTCCTCTGCTTGCATAGCTGATAACACTCTTTGCTCCATCTTGTTCCTGATACAACACTGCGCCAAGTCCTCGTCCACTAGCATCTGTATGCAACTCGAATGGCTGGCTGTAATCCGGGTATGCAAGGATAGGTGGTGAAGCCAGTAATGTCTTGAGTTGTTCAAAGGCTTGTTCTTGTTCTTCTTTCCATTGCCATGGTTGATCAAGTGAATTCTTGGACTTCTTAGACTTCCCATGTGGCATCAGTGAGGATAATGGTTTGGCAATCTTGGCAAAATCCTTCACGAATTTCCGATAGTATCCCGCGAATCCAAGGAATTGTCTAACTTCTGAACCATTGGTAGGTCTTGGCCAATTCAGAATCTTTTCCACCTTTTCAGGATCAGCTGATATGCCTTCTCCAGAAACAACATGGCCTAGAAACTTGATTTTCTTCTTGAAGAAAGAGCATTTCTCTGGTGAAAGCTTCAATCTTGTCTCTCGGATGCGCTGTAGAACTTGTCTCAATCGATCAAGATGTTCTTCGATTGTTGATGAGAAGATAATTATATCATCCAAGTATATTAGACATATCTTTAGATGCAAGCCGTCAAAACACTCGTTCATGAGTCTTTGGTAGGTCGCTGGACTGTTGCACAATCCGAAGGGCATACGATTATATTCATAAAATCCCATGGGTCCGACGGTGAAGGCAGTTCGTTCCTTGTGTGTCTCCTCTATTTCTACTTGGTGGTAGCCACTCTTCATGTCCAGGGTGCTATAGAACTTAGATCCTGCGAGGGCTTCAAACATTTCTTCAATTCTGGGAATTGCATAGCTGTCCTTAATGGTCTGTTGGTTAAGCTGGCGAAAATCCACGCAAAGTCTAAGTTTTCCTGACTTCTTACGGACTAGTACGACATTTGAAGACCGTGGAGAATGAGAGCGCCTGATGACTCCACAAAGTAGAAGTTGGTTTAGATGTTCCTTGACTTCCTCATACATTGCTGGTGGTACTCTTCTGTAACGCTGTTTGAATGGCATGTCATCTGTAAGTTCAATCCGATGACGCACCCTGTCCGTGTGTCCCAAGTCAGTGTCTCCAGTGGAAAATGCATCCAAGTAATCTTTGATGACTTGTTTTCCCTGTGCAAGTTCTTCTTCTGACACGGCTGATTCGTTGAAGTCCATGAGGTCTAAGACAGTGGCATCTTTAGATGTATTTGATGATGAAGAGGTCTGTGGTATACCTTCCAACTTCACAACTTGCAACTCACAAAGAAGAGCACGGCTTGGAATAGATACTGAGCAGGTTGTAAGATTGGAGACGCGTACATCAACAAGTATCTTCTGTCCACTTCCATCATAAGAGACTAAGGTTGGTACAATGTCAAGGTCATTAGGAATATATGATCCTTGGGTTGGCTGGACAGTGGCATGAGTTGGCTTATAGGGTAGGGGTCTGTCAACATAACCGGCGATGTGGATCTCACTGTTAGCTGGGATAATCTTGCGGTCTTGTTCAGCACTTCTTACTTTGCCAACTGAGTAATTGTTCTTTGCAAGTTCTCTCTCCTTTATCAAAATGCTGCGAAATGCTAGGTACCAAGGTGTGTGCAGGTCGGCTTGCTGTAGAAACCTTGGTCCATAAAGGTCCTTGAACTGAGTCAGGTAAATGGAAAGAATGTTGGTTCCTAGAGTGACTGGTATTTTCTTGTTGTAAGCACTATCAGGCACGACAAGCAGCATAGAGTGTATCTTAGTCGATGCGCTTCCGGTCCCCTCCAAGTCTACAACAATTAGTCCGCTGTACTGCAGGAGTTCTCAATCGGCGCATTCTACATGTAGCATGTGCTTCAAGGGTTCAAGTGGAACACCAGGGAAGTTCTACCTGTAGAATGTCTCTGATATAGATGAAATGGTTGCTCCTGTGTCCAGTAACGCCTTACACTTGACTCCATTGATGGTAATATTACTCTCTGTTGGGTCTCCAACTAAATCGGCTGTTATCTGCTGGTTGTTGACGCTTCTTAGGCCCATGGTCCGCCCCTCCCCATAGGCCTTCGGTTGTTTAAAGGGTCTCCGTCTATGATTGCTCTGCATCCCCTCTGAATATGTCCAGGCTGCCCACATCTGTAACATCTTGGGATGTCTTCAAAGGTCTGTGGTCCCTGGAACCAGGTTGGTGTCCCACGGCCAGTCGGGTGCCGTCCGAAGGGTTGACGTCCTCTTGTCCTTGGAGGCTGTGTCCATTGCCTAGGGGGCATTTGCCATTGTTGACCGTGACCTTGACCTTGATCTAAAGATGGCAGTTCCTGATTTGGGGTGCATCCTGGCCTGTCAGTCCTACCTACTTGTGCCTTGAGGGTCGCTATCTCTGTAGACATAGATTTCAAAAGGCCTTTGATCTCCTTGAGTTCTGAGTTGTCTGGGGTAACAGTAGTCTTGTTGATGTTGCAAGTCTTCTTGAATGATTTCCTCTGCAGCAGGTCATCTTCAACTTGGCGAAGGTACCTGAGGAAGTTCTCATACGGCTCATCCTGGTCTGCTTTATGGCTAGTTAGATCCTTCAAATCGGCACGGAGGCCAGTCCTCAAGGTATCCCGAAGAATCTGTTCCGTGTCGCTGGGTTGAACCTTACCAAGGATAACTCCTTGGCTGAGAATATCCTCCAGACGGCAGGACCATTCAGCTACAGTCTCATTGTCCCCTTGCTTGGCCGTGTAGAACTGCGCCATGATGTTGTGCTCTGTGTGTATATTGCCAAATACACTATCCAGCTTGTTGATGAGGGCATCCAGTGGGGCATTCTTGTCCACATGCATAGCAACTCTGGCCGCATTGCCGCGAAGTGAGCGCCTAACTGCTTCCAGGACAATGTCCGTGGAATAGTGGGAACACATACATGTGTACTCGTGCATCCACTGATCAAAGTTGGCATCTCCCTTCCTGTCACCTGAGAAGTATGGTAGCTTAGCTAAGGTGACGGTAGTGGGTAGAGAAGGGATAGTAGCAGCTGCTGTTGGTTCCTCCTGTTCTTGATTATGCCTACCAACCTCGGTGATCCATTGCAGTAAATCTTCAGGTGTTTCAGCTTTAGGTTGTAAAGCTAACTTATTCAAAGAAGAAACCAACTGATCCATCTCCTCCTGTGACATATTTCGTGTTGCCATACTGATGTATGAGAAGAAGAATTTCCGAGTAAATAGATAATTGCTACCAGTGAATACACCGGTGTAATGTGGAAATGAGGCGCCAAAGACAAAATGGTTCCTTGTTAAAAAAAAACAAGGGAAAATAAATTCTCACATGGAGAAGTGTAGTGTGAGAGGCTTAATAAATGAGACTATACTGTTGATTAGTATACTATACAGTATACAAATGATATACGAACTGGATGTACCAAGCCCAAGAGAAGTATAATGCACACATTCATGTGTACACTAAAGCTACGTCGGAAGATGATGGATAACCATGAATAAAATATGCTATGGAATAGGTTAGTAACTTACCAAACAGGATACCTTGTGGCTTACCGGCAAAATATGTACCCTTTACAGTACTTATTTACAGTAAACACAAATTTACCTGAGCTGACTAACGCTTAGATAAGGAATAACACTAAAATAATGCTAAATAAACCTTAGGAATAATGCTAAGATGCAACTAATGATTAGTAACAAATATTATTCGTGCAAATAGTGGCAGTGCAAATCATAAGTAGACGCGCGCAATTGGAGGCGGGTATGGGGCTAACAGGATCAATGAACTTACCCTACAACATAAGACAATCGCACCAACAACCTAAGAGAAAGAAACAACACTGAACACAGAACCTACAATATCAAATATTTACAGAACTATAACATACGTTACCCTGTTATCAGCAAGCACCAGGAATAAACAAATAAACCACACGTAATCTAACACAACATAGTTAACAGTTTATTTAGTTATAATAAGTTTAGTTAGGTAGTTAAATAGTTTAGTGTTACCAACTACTTATTGCCTCAGCACATCATTCATTCACACACACAGACAGATACTGGCTGTTATTGTAATTGATGCGAGAAATATGAAATAACTAATACTAAATGTAAATATATTAAGAGTTGAGGTGTGAGTGGGTATAGCGTCGCGTTCAAGATTATTTCACTTATACAACGACACTATGAAGAATACAAAGAGATTAAGTGTGATAATAAATATGGGAACTAACTAACTAGCTAACTAACTAAGTAACTAAGTAAGTAAGTAAGTAAATAAGTAAGTAAGTAACTAACTAACTAACTAAGAAAGTACTTAGTCGGAGCGCTCCTATTGAAACTAAAGTTTACATGTTAAATTTATTAGACAGCACACAAGCAGTAGATACAAGTAATCAGAGTAACATCACAGATGTTGAGGGGATGAAAACACAGTTGTTGATTTCATATGTCACGTGAGGCTGCAGAAAAATCTTCATAGAGTCTGTACACAGTACATGTAATCAGCTGTATAAACAGCAATAGTCACATATTATAATAAATAGTCAAAAGTCACACATATCTATCAACGCACAGGCACATCACATGTTGGCACAATCCGGGGTGTGATCCTGGGTGTCCACGTAATGGCGCTTGGTGGTGATAGCAACGTTTATCTTGTGTTATCTATATATATATATCACTTCCATTAAAATGAATAGCATTAACTTTACATTACACAATACATCAGACGTATCCGTACAATACATCAATACACAGATACAAAATATATTAATATGATATAGAGTGATAACGAACATTACATACCAGATAGGTGATACCTGAACTTGTAATACCGTGACAATGATCGAACGGTGAACGTTGCCACTGAGAAATCTGCGTAATAAAGAAATACAAATGCAGAATACTATATACAAGTGATATCCTATGGTAAAATAGTGTATAAAATATATAGTACAACAGCCACTCATTTCAAACATACATCAAGCATACAGACATACATTTACTTTCCATTACTGTCCAGAGGGGTTTATATTACTTAGTTTATATAGAGTTAGGTTTTTGTGTTTAATACTGTTTTATTCAGATAATAATTACTCACTGAACTGCAAGTTCATCAAGCACTATAAATATATACAAGATGCATTATGTTTCTAATAAATCAAATTAAGAATGCATTCTACAATATATATTATTTCAAATCGCAATAATTAGAAAACATCCATATATACAACATCATAAAATAAATAACCAACTAACCTTAAATATGAATAAATCCTTCTACAAATCCAAATCCTCACATAGAAATGAAAGCAGCAATAAATCTCGCAGAGTCTTTCCTTGAGGTGACAAATAGCAACTGATTTTCTAAAATTCAACAACAAACATTGTTGTAGCTGTGGCCAGCTTGGCCTATCAACAAGACAATAGACTGGGCCGGGGCGCGCTGGGGCAAAGAGTGCTGTAAGTCAAAAGCATGCAGTGTGACAATTAGTGGAAGTTAGACTGAGAGTAAACTTACTTAATGTTACAGAGCTATGGAATGAATGTTTAAGGTATAAAATACTAAGGTATAAAACATAACTAATATTATAACTAATAATATCTTCTTATAATATAGATATCGTAATAAACTAATCAGTTAAAATGGTAACAAGGCCATATAACCTTACTACTTACTAATAAATCTGAATTAAAAGTATGTACATAAATGAGCCTGCCACAGTATGATTCTAAATCTTCCCTACGTTTAACTTACAACTAGGCCGGGAAATATACAATAATACCACCACCAAAACAATTCCTATCCCTCCTATAAGGAGAATGATAAAGGTCTATTTTCAGGTCATTTGTGTTTACAGAATCATCAAGATGTGTCTCTGTAAAACATACTATGTCATATTCAGAGATTTGAAGTGTTAAAAACATCCATGGAATAACCAACTAAAGTAGGCAGTGGATGATTGATTGATAATGCGGAATTTTCCCTTTTTTAGGTGAGCTGAATAACATTTGTTGTAATGCAAATCTATCGATGCTCTGCACGCCCTCAAATCAGTCATTGGCCAAAACAAGAAATAGTATTATCCGGGCAAGGGCACCGACAGGTTTGCTATTGTTTATGTTATGTGAATTGAAGTTAATTTGTCTATTCCAAGTATGAATCGTACACCAGATACAGTGTCTCAAAGTTCTATAATTAAAACTTGTAAAAGTAGAACACCATTGTACCACTTAACACATGAGTAAATGAAGGGTATTTACATGCAATGAACTACGTGTGTGTGCATACAGTACAAGAGTGAGTGTGATGAAATATACAGTAGCAGACAAACTAAATGAAATAGATTGCAGTGATAAACATATACATATAGTAAGCATTAGGACTAAGCATGTCCATAAATGCAATGACGTGCGAGATACAAGCAGATATAGTGGAGTGCAGTACACTGTGCTACCAAGCCATGTTGTGTGTACACGGGCAGTTTGTGTTGTGGTCAACACATATGAATGTGGTAGAAAAATGACATGAATGATATACAAGAAAGATATAGAGCTGTATCTCATATTGAGTGCACAGAGCTTGATCTCATATATAATTAAACATTCTATAGAAACGTTCGAGTCTCATAAACAAAATTAATTGTATATGGATGTGCGATCTCAGAGTTTATTTTGTCCTCGATTTGAGTTTTAATTATTAAACATTTTTTCTATGTCAGTTTTTTTTTAAAAAATTATCATGAATCGTTTTCCATCTTTTTCTTTGCAAGCAAAGATTCACCCATAAAGGATAAAAAATGAATTTGATGAAGTGGCCTTGTTTAGATTTAGAAGTTTTCTCACCAAGTCATGGCGATACTTTGTTAGGTGCCCCGTTACAACTATTTTGAGGGGTGACCCTTTAGTTTCTTTTTTGCCATGTAGACCTGGGTTTTGGTATTGTGAGCAACAAACTTAACAAGGACATGTGCTCGGCCATCAATGATCTTTCCGATAACATGCGGGCGATCAATATCATTCTGAGCGATCTTAACATGGAGACTTGGTTCACATATGTCAGTGATTATTTGGTCAGTTTGAGCCTTGTCACTTGCAGCAGGAACATTTATGAATCTTTAAGAGTTCCTGCGAGTGTATTGTTCTAGTTCCTCACTTCTGACTACAGACTGTTCAAGTTTAGACTCAGTGGTTTCTAATTTCCCTTGAAGTTCATGAATCAAGTTTGTTTAAGCAGTAATAACTGAGTTTTGTTTTTCAATGTTGACGATGAGGGCGGATGTGGCTGATCTTACAGCTCGTTCGACTGATTCCTCCAACCTTTTAAGGATTTCTGACATAAGTTTAGGAACAATGACGGGTATCAGTTTGTTCATGAAAGTCTCGTTTGATATAGGCATCGGGTGTTTCGTTCTCCGTCAAAGACTCACCCTCAATTCTTAACAGTTTGCTCGCATTAAGTACAATACCACCCATGCTTACAAGCCGCATTTGCATCAAATACGCAACCAGGCAGCCTATTTCTGCAGGAATGAAAGTGACTGGGTATTCTCTGGTGATGGAAATGGGAAAATATTTCTACCGCGCTATCACCAAGTATCTAAACTGAAGGGCTAACTCCAAAAGTAATCCATGCGGACATAGTGTCCATTCTAATGGATGATGCTCCTTCATGGGTCACTGCTAAGAGGTGGCCAGCGGAGGTGAAGATAGGAAGATGTAGTCTCCACGATGAAGACACCACACAAGTACTAGCTTGCATTTGAGACAATCGACGACACACCGCACGCCACGCAGCTCATACAGTAAGCATCTATCATGAGAGAGTTGAGTACGAGACCGAGAAATGAACTGGGCATGACAAAGGTTTCAACTTTAGGGGATGATGTTCCTTCTCTTGCCACTGTTCAGTGGCAGACAACGGAGTTTAAGATGGGAATAATGAGCCTTAGAAGATGTGGAAGACATTTCAGTGCCCATACTAAGGAAAAGGTTGATAAATACATGATAAGAGTGTTGATGATCGATGTCACAAGACACCCTCTCAAGAGGGAGTTGAGAACATTCTGAGGAATGAATAAGGCATTATAAAAGTTTCATAACGTTGGTTTTCACGGCGTCTGACCTCTGATTAGAAACGTTCCTGTTTCATAATCTTTCTGGAGAATGTCATTTCGAGACAGACACATCTGGTTTTGTAGCTGTGGATGGGTGTTCGGTTTACAGCTATCAACTAGAGACTAAGCTTTCAAGGTGATGGTTTCGGTTTTCAGAATACTACTGGTGGACTAACGTCGAAAGCTCAGTTCATTAACGACCAATATTATTTTAACTTGATTAGGCACCTGCGTGAGAAAGTCAAGGTTAAACTTAACGTCATGGAAAACCCACAAACTGTGTTGTCAACCAGGAAAATGCACCAGTGTACAAGTCTGTTGTCCCCATGGCTGCACTGCATGACGCTGAAGGAGTTGGGAGGATGTCAACGCTAGGAATAACACAATATACGGGATAATAACAAACCTGTAGGAATGAAATGATTTTCTTCCTGTAGCAGAGCGTTGCATACTGTGACAGTTTAGCGACCAAGAATGGAATGGAAACATGGGAACTCATGTTGCTTCCAAATGTCTGGTGGTACCCGAGATGCGAGATGCGAGATGTTTCTTCTTCAAGAATAGGCTCATAGTTTTAATTATACATGCATCTTGTATTGCAACTGTAGTTAAACAAACATCCAGTCTCTACGATATCCCAGGCCCGTGTCCCGCTTCCAGCTCCATCCCCACAGCCACACAGACTGTCAAATTTTCGGTCCTTCAGTTACAATTGAACGTTAAAGCATTGCCTTCCATTATGTTGTTCCGTGTCACTTTGCTTTCTTATTCCTCTCATTACAGGTATTGTGGCGGCATACGTCTTCTCCGTCCCCATTGACTATTGGATCAATGGCTTTTACCAGCGACGCTCGTATAAGTGTACATCATAAGAGACACTCGCCGGAATGGAACCTCCACATCAGACACGTCTCCACCAAGGACGGTGGTCTGTTTACCTGTCAGATATCAAAGTCAGGGCAGAGTCGCAATGTCTTACTGACGGTTCAAGGTATGCTTTGTCTATTGCAAGAGTAAGCTAAACTATCATGCGAAAGAAAGTATTTACTTGAAAATTGAATTTGACCCAACAATTACAAACGTTATCAAAATGTTACTTGTCTGAATACAATCGCCGAATCACTAACGTTAGGTTCAAAACACAATTATAATCACAATTGAATAATCACTTCTTGTGTTTCATTTCAACCATCGTCAAACAAGGCTGCATCCTTTCGTTTGCCCGGAGTTTAGCTGGGTGTTTGTGCGGTTCTAATTGTATTTCATCGATTCAGTTTACACTGTTATGACAGTCCAAAGTAACGAATGTCGCAGGGCAACGGAGCATGGTGCTGACAAACCAAGAAAATGGCAATTAAAGGATATAGATGGAGTCGAATTTGACTTACGAACCACTCGCGAATGAAACCAATAGATTGCTGATAACTACAATGAACAGAACCACAGAATATCTACAATGATATCTGTCACATGAACCTGATCAGCACAACACCATACCCATTATACTCTGAGGAAACACGCCAAGCATGTTTCGATTCATGCTGGTGTAGATAATAAGAAAAATGCACCACTCTTGCCTTTTTAAAATTTCTTAATATTCTTCGACATGCATGGTATACACCAATAAAGCTGTGAATCGCTGCGCTGAAGTCCGTTCCCTCCCAGGGTATGATACCCCTGGTTCGAGTCCTAGATGTGCCCTGATTTCAATCCTTGGTCTGTCAACTCTTTCCCCGTGTTTGTGGCGTCCCCTAAACGATAAACGTCCTTGACCTTCGTCATTTTGGACTTGACGTTATATAACTAAACATGGTTAATAATTCCATTCATTATTGATGAGAAAAATACTAACAGAAAATATACACAGGATAAAACTTGTATAGGACATACACACGTTACGCACTGACGTCCTCTAGTATCGGTGTGCTTGCAATATTTTGCAATGAGTGAGTGAGTGTCTGGTTGAGGGAGTGGGTTGCATAGTTTTGTGTTTTGGTTTGATGGGTGGATGGGTGGAAAAAAAACGTTGGCATATTTGCGATCCACGTGCATGGTGGGCGTTGGAAGATGGTGTTACGACGTAAATTGTAATAACGCGGTAAATTGTAATAAACTGCGGTAAAATGTAATAACACTGCGGTAAAATGTAATACTGCGGTAAATTGTAATACATACTGCGGTAAATTGTAATAACTTCACTGCGGTAAATTGTAATAAAAACTGCGGCAAATTGTAATAACTTAAACTGCGGTAAATTGTAATAAAACTACGGTAAATTGTAATAACCACTGCGGTAAATTGTAATAACTTCACTGCGGTAAATTGTAATAAAAACTGCGGCAAATTGTAATAACCACTGCGGTAAATTGTAATAAAAGATTATTGATTTGCAAATATACAAAGAAACTTGCATGAAGTATAAAATGTGCGACCAAGCTGTTTGGAAATCACATTCTGGACTTTGAAACGACTGATTGATACATACTAATGAACATTAAATTCTTGATATTTGTATTTACTCTGAACCAAATTCCAATTCCATTATCAATTCCAACCTCCAGCATGATTAAGAGGGAAATAAAAAAAGCGATTTTATTTCAATTTCTCTCATTCCGCTGAAACAGATGCGGCAAATTGTACGAACATCTTTTAAGCATTCCAATTTCAAACTGAATGCGAGTTCCAGTGTTTGTTAAACCATAACAAGATCAATTCCAACACCAAGCATGTTTAAGAAAATCAAAAAAAGCGATTTTGGTTCGATTTCTATCATTTCTATTGAAACAAAGGTGTGGCAAATTGTAACAAACTGCGGCAAATTGTAATACCAAGTGCGGTAAATTGTAATAACATCTCCTAATCCTTCCGATTTCAAACTGAATTCAAGTTCCAGTGTTTGTTGGACCTTAACAAGATCAATTCAAACCTCCAGCATGTTTAAGAAAATAAAAAAATCCGATTTTGTTTCAATTTCTATCATTTCTATTGAAACACAGGTGCGGCAAATTGTAACAAACTGCGGCAAATTGTAATACCAAGTGCGGTAAATTGTAATAACATCTCCTAATCCTTCCGATTTCAAACTGAATTCAAGTTCCAGTGTTTGTTGGACCTTAACAAGATCAATTCCAACACCAAGCATGTTTAAGAAAATCAAAAAAGCAATTTTGTTTCAATTTCTATCATTTCTATTGAAACACAGGTGCGGCAAATTGTAACAAACTGCGGCAAATTGTAATACCAAGTGCGGTAAATTGTAATAACATCTCCTAATCCTTCCGATTTCAAACTGAATTCAAGTTCCAGTGTTTGTTGGACCTTAACAAGATCAATTCCAACCTCCAGCATGTTTAAGAAAGAAAAAAAATCCGATTTTCTTTCAATTTCTATCATTTCTATTGAAACACAGGTGCGGCAAATTGTAACAAACTGCGGCAAATTGTAATACCAAGTGCGGTAAATTGTAATAACATCTCCTAATCCTTCCGATTTCAAACTGAATTCAAGTTCCAGTGTTTGTTGGACCTTAACAAGATCAATTCAAACCTCCAGCATGTTTAAGAAAATAAAAAAATCCGATTTTGTTTCAATTTCTATCATTTCTATTGAAACACAGGTGCGGCAAATTGTAACAAACTGCGGCAAATTGTAATACCAAGTGCGGTAAATTGTAATAACATCTCCTAATCCTTCCGATTTCAAACTGAATTCAAGTTCCAGTGTTTGTTGGACCTTAACAAGATCAATTCCAACACCAAGCATGTTTAAGAAAATCAAAAAAGCAATTTTGTTTCAATTTCTATCATTTCTATTGAAACACTGGTGCGGCAAATTGTAACAAACTGCGGCAAATTGTAATACCAAGTGCGGTAAATTGTAAAAACATCTCCTAATCCTTCCGATTTCAAACTGAATTCAAGTTCCAGTGTTTGTTGGACCTTAACAAGATCAATTCCAAGCTCCAGCATGTTTCAGAAAATAAAAAAATCCGATTTTGTTTCAATTTCTATCATTTCTATTGAAACACAGGTGCGGCAAATTGTAACAAACTGCGGCAAATTGTAATACCAAGTGCGGTAAATTGTAATAACATCTCCTAATCCTTCCGATTTCAAACTGAATTCAAGTTCCAGTGTTTGTTGGACATTAACAAGATCAATTCCAAGCTCCAGCATGTTTAAGAAAATTCAAAAAAGCGATTTTCTTTCAATTTCTATCATTTCTATTGAAACACAGGTGCGGCAAATTGTAACAAACTGCGGCAAATTGTAATACCAAGTGCGGTAAATTGTAATAACATCTCCTAATCCTTCCGATTTCAAACTGAATTCAAGTTCCAGTGTTTGTTGGACCTTAACAAGATCAATTCCAAGCTCAAGCAAGTTTAAGAAAATTAAAAAAAGCGATTTTGTTTCAATTTCTATCATTTCTATTGAAACACTGGTTCGGCAAATTGTAACAAACTGCGGCAAATTGTAATACCAAGTGCGGTAAATTGTAATAACATCTCCTAATCCTTCCGATTTCAAACTGAATTCAAGTTCCAGTGTTTGTTGGACCTTAACAAGATCAATTCCAACCTCCAGCATGTTTAAGAAAATTCAAAAAAGCGATTTTCTTTCAATTTCTATCATTTCTATTGAAACACTGGTTCGGCAAATTGTAACAAACTGCGGCAAATTGTAATACCAAGTGCGGTAAATTGTAATAACATCTCCTAATCCTTCCGATTTCAAACTGAATTCAAGTTCCAGTGTTTGTTGGACCTTCACAAGATCAATTCCAAGCTCCAGCATGTTTAAGAAAATTTTAAAAAACGATTTTGTTTCAATTTCGATCATTTCTATTGAAAGACTCAGTCTCGACGACATATTAAAACATTCCAGAATATTTTTAATGTTTTAATGTTTTTAATGTTGAGAACTTTGTCAAAAAAAATTTTAAGCGTAGTCTGAAATGAAAGTCACCAGTTTGAACAAAACTCGAGTGAGAAATGGCGATTTCTTGTTATTGGTTTCATTGGTCGGTCAAAGTTGGCGAAAGGTCCTTCTGACGACACCCTTAATGTGATGTCCTTAGATCTTTGATGAGCGTTACCGATAAATAAGATCTGATTTTTATGCGGTTAATTATAAACTGTTACATTTTGTTTCACTTTGCCATCGATTTTTAATATGCTCGTTGCAATTGTCAAAGTCAAAAACCCTAATGAGATCCTATCTACATGGTCACACCCGGACTGGTGATTGTTAAGAACACAAATCCTATTTACATTCTGACAACATGGCAGTCTACATTCATTTACAATACAACCTTATTATTAGCGGTATCATCCTCTCATTAATTCTTCCAAAACAGATAACGTCTGTAATTTTCAATTAAAGTCAGAAAAATGACACCTGGAATGAAATCAAACTTGGTTGTTTGCAACGTAATATTAGCGGGATCATTACGGTCGTTGTCATGTGATCGACGAAATAAACCAAAGTGCCAAAAAAAACAGATCATGAAACACATGTCGTCTGACGGTTGTCGTGTCGGATAATTATTTATCCTTTGATCGTAATTACAATAAAAGAATCCGTCGGGGTGCGATCGTGCGCTTGGGGTAAATTTGCGTCTCATTCCTTTACCTTTGCCCAGTCCACCTGCATAATTACTTCACTAAATACACTTGGAAGGACAACCATGAATAAACAATGATCAGTGACACTGATTAGTGACAATATCCCATAAATCTGTTGCTGATTGGATAGAGCAACATGTAAAACTCTTTGGGGCACCTTTCGCTACACCATTATTGTGTCAGCCGAAGATTTTACAATTCCCATAGCATACAACCCAGCAACCAGTCAGCCGAAAATTTGATCTCCAGTGAAATCATTCTTCATCGGATGTGAGGATTTTCAGTAAGAGATTACCCGTATGCAGAACAGTTCCTCATAAGGTGTGAACAACTTTCAGAAAAGGATTACCAATTAGCAGAACAGT